ACTTCTTTACATCTAACCTTAACTTCCCCTGTTTAAGTTTAAACCCATTAGCCCTTGTCCTATCACTACAGTCCATACTTCTTTATTGGTCTGCTTCCTTTAAGGTAAAGAAAAGGAACAATTTTAAAGCTAGAAACCAAAACAAGAACATAAGAAATCTTTCTGCTAGGCTACAGCAGCCTTTTCAGCCTGTCACCACAGGTGGACATGGAAAAAGTACCAGGAAGAAGGAAAAGATGCCCCTTGCTTAGCAAGATACAACATTGTCATTCAAATCTACAGACAAGAAATAACTCTGGAGGTCTATTTCTAGCTTGAAAAGTAAACAAGTCCCAGAGCATGTGCCCTTGTGCCTTGCCTGTTCATTTATCAGGAGAGTAATGCATTCAACACATCAGTGATGCTACTCCCCGTTTTGTTGTTACTACCCACACTCCCTACCATTTCCCTGTTTTCCACACTCAGATTGACTTCCAAAAAGCACTCTGGTCCTGCCTAAAGCATGACTTCATTCAGCTGTAGCCTTCACTCCCCTGAAGAGCCACTGTTCAACATCCTTCTAATGAGAAGTAATTTAACAGACACTCCAGGAAGTTTTCTTTCTCTAGCTGATCTATTCGCAGGCCTCTGCAGAAAACTTAAAAAGAGCTGACAAAGTTCAAGTATTTCCTATTCTCCCACTTGGGCAGTCATTTCCCTTTGTGCCAAAATCAACTTCATGGATAGACACAAATTTTGCTTATAGTTCTGCTGACTCTTTCCTAGTGTGTCTGTAGTCACCTCAGACTTGCATTTAAGATGGATAACTAAGAAGAAAAATAAGAAAACTGCTTTACATTAATCTTGTAGTGCTTGGCAAAACACAGCTGTGAATCCCCAAATTTATGGGTTAAGTTCTTTTTTCTTAAAAAATATTTGAAAAATAATAACCTCAATTTTGCGCATGTTCATTTTAGGCCATACTACATTTAAATATTACTAGATTCTATAGAAAAATAAAACCTCAGAAGAACCTCTGATGATTGGGGTGGGAGAGAAAAGGGAAGAGAGTGGAGGAGAGTAAGAGAGAATGGAAAAGATCAAGCTCTAACAGTTTCTAGTATGCTGGAAGTTAAAGTTCAGGTTTCTCATCAGAATTAGGCACTGAGCTACCATCTGCTCTGCAACTGCATTTCAGTTGCACTAGAAACTCAATTCTGGATGTACAAAACCTTCCTAACAAAATTCTAACTGAAAGTATCAAAACTCTGAAAAAGGCTTTGATTACGAAAATTAATATCTCAAGTTATTTATTCATTAGAGAGCAAAACACCTTAATTTGTTAACTTTTTAAAAACGTATGATTTTAAATAATGCAACAGTGAAGTCACCATTAATATTTCTCTTTGAGTATTCCAGGTTCCAAATATTACAGTACACAGGAGACACATTATAACTCACATCTTCAACTTTTTGGTGTGCCGTTTGGCTGTGCTGACAGACTTGACCTTAATCCAAAGCATTTAAGTCTTCTGTGCCGTTTCTTTCTTATATGGGTTACTCTTGACCATAAGACAAAGCTCACCATTCAACCTTTTTAGAAACAACCTTTTAAAAGCAGAAGATATTTTGAGAAGCAAACAGAGGAAATTAATGAAATGGCATGAAAGGTAAATGGTACAGAAGTGTTTCAGGGGGTATTCAGGTGGAGGGTAAGAGACTACAGTTCTGCTTCACACGGACCATGGTGACCACAAACTAACTAGCTTCTGAACTGCTCCAGACCCTTCTGAAACTCCAGATAATTTGCAAGGTATATAATCTGCTCAGATTATACCTTATGCAAGTATTTCTTATTGGATAGTAAAAGCTCAGTCAGCATGGCATAGAGCTTTGCATAACTACCTCAGTACCAGCAGCTGTGGCTTGGTGCAGGCACAGTGCCAGCCAAATATCTGAAAGAGCTATGATATCTTCTGCATTATCACTGAATGCAAGACACTGCTTGAAAAGTTTCTCCGATGATCCAGAAGACAAGCACAGGTTCATGCCAAAAAGAATTGCTGAACTGATCCTGGAACATTCCTCCCACTCTGGTTTTGTAAGTACACAAGATAAGCAAGGATTAAACTTTTGAGAGATCCATTATGTCTCCTCAGGAATTGTTGTCACCTGTTCTCATTGAATAACAATGCTTCATTTGACAAATGTAATTTCAATAAATAAAAAGACTTTTGTTCTTTTGCCATTATTTCTTCACCACTCTTACCTCACCGGTTCTGCAAAGTCAGCAATGACAACTTTGGATCCTTCCCTCAACCCATTCTCTGACCTTCTTAAAGGCTGTCCCTACCTGAGGGGTGTAAAAGTTTTCTGACATCCCAAAAGCATTTCCTACTGCCTTTTCCTAGAAGGTCTTGCAAAATTTTAATTATCTATCCAACTCACAAATTCCCACCAGTATTGTCATACCACGTCTCTTTCTGTAGCACAAACTGATCTTCAAATCGTGGGCTTTGCCAACTTTTTAAACTTTTAGCTTTTTAGGTTAGGGAAAGTGGGTTGGTTTGGATCCTGGACAGTTTCAAACTCACAGTTGTTATTTAGCAAGATAGAAAAAACAGTCTGCATTTTTGTTGTATTATTATGGGAAGAATGCATACAAAAGGTCAGTCTACTGCCCTCCATCTTACCTCAAGTCTTCATCTGCCATAGATTTGCAGAAGCCAAAATCAGTTTCACTCAAGGACAGTCTGCCTTCAATGGCACAATGGTTCACATAGAGTTCCAGACAGGACTCCATCCTGGGACAGAGAAGCTCCTTTCTCTATTTCAGCACTTCCTCTTCTGTCTGAAACTTCTAAAGAATCATAAAGAAGGAATGTACCAGTGGCTGTAAAAGCAGACTCAAGGTTTTTAACTAAAAATGACTCAATGTGTCAATACTAGTAATATTTGATACTTTCTTTACAGCCTGGGCTATTTGAAGATGTGGCTACATAATGCCTCCAGAAATGGAAACTAATTTTTATTTTAAATGTCCTGGGGAAGAATATTCTGGGGAAGAAAGGTCAAAAAATCTTTCCCAAATGCACATCTAAGGCTCAGAAGACAACTAAAATCTCCCTTCCAATTTTTTTAATGAAATCATGTGTTTTCTCAAGCGACCACAGTTTCTGGAGACTGATGCATGAAGGCTGGAGGTTTTGAGCTGGCAAGGGTATACTCAATATATAATAAGTAAAAGATTTACATATGCACTGATGTATCATAGGTCTTGGTACTGCCATGGCCTAAGTAGATCAAGAATGCACTTCAGCAATTAGAATGGGAAGTGTCTACTTACATATTAAAACTCCAGCAACAATCAACTACGCACATGTTTATCTGGATATATTTTTTATACGACAGATGTCCATACACTGAGTAATGGGTAAATTTATATTTTTAATGGAGGAATATTATTGTCGCATTAGGAAATCCCAGAAGGTTGGGAAAGTACAATATAAAACTGTCTGTACATTGGCCCTATTCTGAAATCTTTTCACAGACATAATTTCCCATTGTTAGAGACATGACAAAATATTTTCCTTTCATGTACTTACATAAAATTACATTTTCTGTAGAAAAAAATTCTCATGAATGAATCAGGTTGCAAAAATTAAGTTATATGGCAAGTATTAAAACTAAACCAACCCTTATAGGAGGTCCTCTTAGGCTGCTCAGTGCAAAAGTGTCACTGGTTGCACATGGATACACCAGTTGAGCAAAATATCAGGACATGGATCTATAGAATGCAAATTATTTTTTAAAGAATTCTTTCATTGTATACCTATGCACCATAATATGTAGGAAGGTGAATGGCTTCCCTTGCACTTCTCTGCGTCAACAGATTACCACAGAGTATTTAGCTTACATTTTGAGAATGGCTACAGCTGTGGCAGATCTTGATTTTCTGAGAATGTTAAAAGCAACCTAAATGAGGTTATACATGAGGAAGACTATTAGTTATTACCATTTATTTATGCATTCACAACTTACTTCAGAAGACTGAGAAATAGCTTTTTGTTTTGTAACTTAGAAAATTATTAATTCATCTAAGGATTCCAGCTGTCGGGCTGGACCTAGTTTGAGTCACTAGTTAATGTGACAGTTTCTCTTTGTATAAATGGAGATTTTTGCACCATCTCACATGTTAGATTCTGGTGGCATTTCATAGTCTATTTCAATAACAGAATTAAGCTTAGCTCAACAGCCCTCTGGCCTTTCTTTGAAGAACATTTGCAGGGATGAATACATAACACAGAAACACTTGTGATAATGGTACTTGTGGCAAATACTGCAGGGTAAAGCAGCAGGAAATATTCGTTTCACCCTCCTGTTGCATATCCTTCCAGCAGCCAGCTCAAGTGAGGTTATGCAATCTGCTGACCAGCTGGCATTCTCACATCACGTTTCTTTTAAAAGACTCATACCAGCTGTTGCTGTCATTACTTTCTTTACAGTTATTGCAGTTCTGCTTCCAAAGCAACTGTTACTTAAAAAAAATAAAATTGATTAAAATATGTAATTATTCAACAAATGCATTCATAAATTCAGAGGTAGAATTGCAGAATTTTGAACATCAAGCAATAGTTAAGAACTTAAATACCGTTATCAACACTGCTGTTTGTTTTTTGTTAAATCGGTGGAAGTCATTGTTAAGGAGCATAATGTCTACTACAAGCATTTTATAAGATTTATTTAGTGTCTAAATGTAATAAATGTATTAATCTAGACTGCTTCTTCATTTTTAAAAATACTGTTAAACAGTAGCCTGCCTTTTGCAAATGGAACTCATCTACTTTACATACAACCTGTTTTTTTCACTCACAGAATGATGGTAGTAGTATAAAACTGAAAATACATTCCAATACATAAGGAGGAGAGAGTTTACACCCCATTCATCTCATCAGCACTGCTCCATAATGTCCAGATAACTTTTTCCTTTCCTTATGCCTGAAGGCTTAGGAGTCTTTCCCAGTATAATTTCATGTTACTGTCAAAGTCAAGCATACATATTTTGCATAAAAATAGGTACCTTTTTAATGACGATGAAATGTCAAAGAGAAAAGGTGTAGCTGATAGCTCTCATGAGGATGACAAATTTACTTCCATAAATCACATAATATGACTAATTTTATATTTGTAAGGAGTCCGCTGCTTTGATTATTTTTAACTTTCTGTGGAAAGCACAAATCTGTGGCACTTACTAGTGATGTTTATGGTAGCACAGTGCAGACTTGAAAATTACCTTCATGACTATTCTCATTAGCCAGCTGTCAAATATTTCACTCTGAGATAATCATGCTGTGTTCTGGTTTTGTATTTACTTTTATATACCATTTTATCAAGTCAGTGATTCATCAGTAACAGGTTAATGAGATGATACTGTGTGCTGTATCCATTAAGCAGCGGCAGGACAAAAGAGAGACAAATGCTCTAAAGAGGTGGAATTTATATCTGGATTAACATTGAGCTTCAGAATGGAACTGAAGTGCAGATTTGTGCTGGAAGCTCTGCTCTAAGTAGAGAGTAGTATCTTACCCAAGAGTAACAAAAATCTTGTAGGCTGTGTTAGTAAAGTTTCATCTCACAACTACAAAAACCTCACAAATTACTAATATTTTCATTTTCTTGATCACACCTGTAATTCATATAAACCAAATTCATACTGTAAAATTAATGAGTTACATCAAGGTACACTAGTCTGAAAAAATTTATCCCTTTAAGGTTTGGATTCAATCAGAAATAAATATGAAAGCAGATTGGATCCTAACTGATTAAATAGAACTGAAATGCCATTCTGTCCCATTTTCCTGCCTTGGAAATACCCTCTTCCAAATTGTGCTTGAGCATCCTGCCCTTAACAAAGTCCCGGAAGTACAGAAACTGAGATTTCAAGAACATCTATTTTTGAATCCTTGAACAGTCCTCAGAAGCCACCATCACTTTTTCACTTCCAGCTGAAAACACTGTCTTTTTCTTTGCCTCTCGTTCCCTCTGGAACATTTTAATTCTGTAGCTATGTTATTTAACTTTGTCAATTGTTTTTTGGGGTAATACGTGGAAGGAAAGACATTATAGAATTTAACATTCTATACTGTTGCCTCATACTGCTCTGAATAGATAACATCATTGACACAAATGGCTGACCAAAAAAAAAGTCATGAGAACTGAAAATGTGTGGGCACTGAAATATTTCACAAATTGAATAATGATTTCCTTTCTCTGTTTAGTCTGACAGATGACGATGTGTCTTGAACACTTCAGGACTGAATGATGGAGAAGATGAAAAAGCCATTTGAGGAATGTCTTTCTTATTCCAAATACTTCACTTTGCATTTCAAGAGTGTGTCCGAGTTGGGTATAATGTTTCTTTCATTTATGGCAATATATAATCCACAGAAATGGTACTAGTCACAATTTAGTTCCATCCTCCCCCCCCCCCCCCTAAAAAAAATTACTGCGCTTTTAAACTGCTCTTTGGGAATAGTGATTTTCAGGAAAAGTTATTTTATTGTAACTCCTAATTGTGAATTTCAATGATATTTGTAATTGGAGAAGCCTGTGGTTTTTCTTAGGATGGGGAAATCTCTAGTGTTTCTAGTAGCCAAAAATCTTCAGACTTCTAGGAAATGTCCAGACTTTTTTAACTGTGCAAACCAGGGCCAGAATATGAAACTCCTCCTTGAACGAAGCCAGCAAGACTCCACTGACAACAGAGAACATTTTACCAGTGTAAATTTCTCAGAGTTGTATTCTTAATTCTGTAGAAGTTCAGGAAGTAAGAAGATATATATTTTACCTATATTTGTTTATCACAGTGTTTGTCTTCTCTGATGCAGACATGGTTTCCTTATGTCAAGAAAAGGGATGTGCATGATCCATTCTATACACACAGCCTGGGAAGTCAGTGGCTGCCTGCAGTACCTTCTGCACCAGCTGTCCTGTGCAAACAGCCTGCAAAGTGAACCAAGGGCAGAAGGTATTGATTTTGTCCTCACTCACTGAAGATGCACAAAGCAGAAGCTGAAACTAATCAGGAAGATAGCCATTTACCTGCTGAAAATACAGCAACTATGGCTGGAGAACTATCATTGGAGAATGTGCTAGCTGAAGATACCCATCCTCTCTACCCAGATAGCAACTTTATTTTAGCATTATTTTAGCATTACCATTCTATGTAAAGATAACACGCTATAACAAAGACATGTGCAATGGTGTGTGCAAACTCAGATATCTACCCAGACTGTGGATTAGTGAAAATCTCATATAGTTCAAATATAATATTTGCCTGAGCCACACCAAAACTAACACCTACTTAGGTTTCTCACAAGCTCAAGAATCCAAAAAAAATATGCCTAGAAAACATACTTTTTGTGTTGTCTCTGAGCATGCAGAGGCTGAATGAAATTGCTATTCTGAGCAGTGCTATCAGCTGGCATAGGCTTATCCAAATAGATGGATTACTGTGAAGTCTAATAGTCCAGAAACCACTTTCAGGGGTGCTCCATGAGAGGGAATGAAGAAGTCATGGGAATCCTACTACAGACAGCATTCCCAATTCTGGCTATCTGAAATCAAGGACTTTCAGACCTATTATGGTCAATTTTAATGAAAATTCTTTGCAGTACAGGCAAATTTTGAGGCTAAGCAAAGGGAAATATCTGAAAAACTATGCAAATTTTAATTTCAGACCAAATATGTTTTGTCCTTGATAGGCCATTTACTATACTCACAGCAGATCTTTCACATCAAAAATGGTACGGTAGCCATAAACACAAGTTATTTTAAGAATCCACCTTTAGTTTGGTTAAGACTTCAAATTCCTATCACAATAAATATGCCTTAAGGATGTATCTATTTCAAGATATCACCTTTTATAAAACTGGCAGCACTGCATTTGCAAGAGTTACATGGAAAGGAAGATCACCTCTCTTGAGATATCTCTTGTAAAAACAACTGCTTTTCCTTTGCAGTGCAGTGTGCAACAGAGATGAGGTGAGTCAAGTCACAGAAATTTTCTTTTCTGATAAAACTAAAGCTTGACATGGAAAGTTATCACATGAACAAATGAGAGCTCAGAGCTTAATAGAAAGATTTCAAAGAACTCTGGGAAATTGCCTATCCTATTCCTAAAGACAAGTGACTAAAACCAAAATATTAAGTAACTTTTTTTTGTTATGACTAAATTTGTAATGATTTTAAATGGCTTAAAAATACATGGGTAAATCCTATTTTTAAAAAAAGACATTTCTAAAAACTTTCAACACTTAAAAGATTTTAGACACTGCTGTCACCTTCTACATGATCAGTTTCAAGTAGACTGTTATGTTTCAGTATGACCATGCACATTGCTGACACCTTAAAAGCACTGGATACAATCGTTATCCCTGACATTTCAGCAGCATTGACAGAATTTGTAAAAAATATAAAATTTTTATTTAAGGGACAATTTGTCCTCAAAAATTAAGGTTTTTGCATAAAATGAGGGACTTGCACAATAAAAAATCTAACACCTTTCTTAGTGTCCACACACCTGGCTCCACAAGAAAAGGGGAAGGGACTCTGCAATGGGACAGGGGAGTCCATGCCTACAGCTTGTGTTTAAGTGGAGGTACATCCAAAAAGCCTTTTCCAAAACTTCCTGCGCTTTAAGCCTTCTCCACAGTAGAAGCCTGACACTCCTTACAGCAGGGTGGCCAAGTCAAGCTGGGCTACAGACCTGGAGTGGGCAGCCCTACCCTGGACAGGCTTCTGTGGCTACCTAACCCAGAGCTCCAGACACTGCCTGGCAGCGTTACATCTGGCCAGGTTCAGAAATCAGGTCAGGTTCAAATTCTCTGAAAGTCTGTTGAATCAGACATTTTGGACAGGACAGTGGAGACTCAACTAAAAGGCATTTTTAAAGTAAATTCTTTTGCTGCATAATACACAACAAATACTAACTCAAGTTAGCTCATTATGTAAACAACAAAGGGTTTCATTTTGGCTGCTTTCAGTACCTCTCATCTAATACTCTTTCTAATGAGAATATCAGTCTCCAGTGTGGTGCTAATTAAGCTGTTTCTTTCTCTTGATACTTATGTGTTATCACATTGTCTGATTTTACAGTCACTAACAGATATTATTCCCCACAAAAGCCTCCAACACAGGAAAATAATTATCCCCATTTTGAAGCCAAAGGATAAAACATTAGCCATAACCTAAATGGTTAGTACAGGATGTCTGTGAACGCACCAGAACATTAACCTGATTTCTGGAGTCCCCATTTCCATCAGCTTTGCTGATCTTAGAATCTCTGTTTCCATCTTTTCCCCTTACTGCAGCAGTGCACTCTCAATGCCACATTTTTGTCTTTCAGCTGCATGTATTTAATTATGAGTCACTATCCCAAAAGGAGAACAAAGTGATTATACTTCCATGTGAATTTGCAGAATGTTTATCTGGTTATAGATACATGAATGAAAATAATGCATGAGCATATAAATAGAAAATAAAAGCTTTATTGTGGATTCTTTGAAACACTGGAATGTGTTTCAGAAGACAAAAAGGAAACCAAGAAAGTCTTTATTCCAGCTGATAAATGTTTGTTCTCTCAAGTTTTTAATCCATGGCAGAGAAGGATAATAAAACAAGCCCACCACCAGTGGCTAAAATTATTAGCTTTGCTTTTATTTTAGGCATAATAGTATTCAAAAAAATAATAATAAAAAAGATATAAAGATGTTTAATCAGCATATAAATGTCAAGTGCTAAGTGTCAAATGCTGAATTTTTCCAAGATTTAACATGATCCTCAATATTATTATTTTGCTGGAATTTTTTTCATTTCTGTTAGCTGAATGTGGATTTTGAAATAGGATCATTTCCTCCAGCACTGTTTTTGAGGGTGAGAAAAACCTGAACTACATTCTCAGGCCATCTTCTTTTTCCTTGCATTACACAATGTTTCCCCAGTGGATTAAGAGGCCACTTGTGGGACGTTCCAAACTCATTTTCTATGATTATGGCTTCAATTATCCTATAAACCAGATAAGCAATATCTCCAAAACCTGGAAAAACTTATTCTCATTCTTAGTCTGAGGGTAGAGACAAAGAGGACTTCCAGGAAAGAAAAAAAGCCAGAGTGCTGAGCCAATGTTAGAGTATTTCCCAGTAAGACAGAGAGATGGAAGGGCCTACCATGACTTTGTAAGTACTTGCACATTAGTGGTTTCAATACAATTTTAATTCCTTATTTTATTCATCCAAGGCGCTCTGGGGAAATAAGCACATCTCTGCCACATGTCTAGGATGGGGTATTTCATGCAGCTTCAGTATCACCCCTCTTCAAAAGTTCTCACTGCTCCTTTGCCTGTACTGTAGATAGGACATTCAGAACCTTTTGTTCTAGGAAAGGAAGGGCTACAGCAAGGCCTAATCTGTTTGTGGCATCACAACAGTATCCACAGCAACTAAATATGATGTGATACAGAAAGGAATGTGACTTCAAGTGCCAGAAGCTGGTGAAGGATTGAGAAGCACAAATCCTGTTGTCATGCAGCTACCTCCAGCAGTGGTGTATGCATGAGGCAAATGAAAGACACACATCTGAAATATGCAGAGAGAGAGGTTGTTTTCTGGCAAGTGTTGTTTCTGTCTCAGGATACACTTCTGTCACTACAACAAAACACTCCAAGGGGTGGAACAAGCCGAAGATGGGAACGGAGTCCCCAAGACACCTCTGTCAGTCACTGGCTGACTATTTATTTAAAAGGTCATAGAAAAATATCAGTAACTACATAAATGGTCTACATTTTTCCATTGTGTTTTCAGAATTCGCTTGTTATCTGTGTTGAATAAACAATACAGATGAGAAAACCAAGGTTAAACCTAAAGTCTGGAGTGCAGTAAACTGCTTAGAGGTTGGTCCTGGGACTTTGGATTCAGGAAAGTTCTTTTCCCAGACCCACCTTAAATTTGCCTTAAGAGTAGGACAAAGACCTTTTTGTTGTGTCTCTACAATATCTAGCACAATGGGGCCCTGATCCATGGCTGGAGCCTCTAGGCATTGCCACAGTACAAACAAATAACAATAGTTAGCAGGCAAAGACATTGCTGGGAATTGCTTAGTAGGCAAGCAAGCTTCTTATAGAAGTGTGTATTCTAAGCACTTATTCAGTTCACACAGCCTGAGGTTTCAGAACATTCTTTGTTAAAAAAAAAACCAAGCATTGGAAATATCCTCTTGAGCCTGAATCAGGGCCAAGAAGGTGTAAGATATTAGAGCCACTTCTTGCATATTACAGCACTGGAACTATCTTCAAGGAAGTGAGTTTGGCATGTGTTTGACCAATGAATGCTTCAGTAATGTCTCAGCAAACAATTAAAACACCCATGCTTTGAGCAAACACGTAGTATGAAATCTTTACACAACATCTACTTACTTATGCGTACATAAATAGATTCAACTGGTTCAGGCATTAGGCTGGTACTCAGAAAAGTTGCACCTGATTCCTGGCTCCAGCAAAGATATTTGCATGCTCTTTGGCAATTCACTTCACATCTTTTTTTTTTTAGCTTAAACCAAAAGGAAAACAAGAATACTTTTCATGTCTGTCAGGCATCATGAAAATTCCCAAGCACTGTTAAATGTTGTTACTGCTGAGATGAGGCCCGAAAGATACGTAGAAACCTAGACAAATCCATCCCTGAATTTTGGAATGAGAACTCAACTTGAGGTTATACACAAAATAATTCTCAGATTACATTGCTTCTACCAGAATTTTTTCTCCCAAATATAGATGGGACTGGCTTTAAAAGTATTGTATTATTGCAGCAATTACCCACCTCTGTTGATTTTTGCCATTCTTCAATAGCTAGAAAATAGTGTCAGTTTTAATGAGCACAGATTGTATAAAAGCTGAGAAATAATCTTAGCTTTTCAAAGATATAGCTATCTTTCTGTGTCAGGTCCATGCCCACAGGGAGAATATCCAACTTATTATTTCCAGATATATTACACACCAAGTCTAACACAAATTTGT